TGAACTTCAGCCTTTGGACCCCTCTTGTATTACCATCACAGATCTCCCCTTGGATTTTCCAGCAGAGTTTACTACTCACTATTTAACATTTCCTATTAAATTACAAATTTTGCTTCTCGTGCTTTAATAAGGGAATTGTTTTTTATATACATCCTTTTTATAAAGTGCTTTGCTGACACAGCTCAGGTCCAGTTCTTCTTGGGAATCATGGTAGCTGTTGTCCTCTGGAAACTCAGATCTAAAGCTATAGAACAGTTTGTCCCTAGTGACAAAAAAATTATATTGAACTTCACCTTTGCACAGAATAGATCCAGGTATTTTTCAAAGATGGGGTATAGTTCATGGATTCAGTTCAAACAAGGAAAGCTAGAGTAAACATGTATTTGCTAATAATGATATGAGAAATCTAAGCATGCTGTATAATTAATATTTATTGCAAAATGTTACTTGGAGGAGTACAAGGAACAAAGAAGCTGATTGTTACCTCCAGAGCTCCAAGAGAGCATCAGTGGTAGGTGCTTCCGTGGGAAAGGGTAGCCAAGGAGAAAGCTCATCAACATATTCAATAAGATTTGCAATTTAACAGTTAGAGGTCTTAATACCCACAGGAGACCTGAGCCCACCTCTTAAACACAAACCCCAGATACTTATTTTGCCACAGTGCAGGGTGTCTGGATTATCATTTCCAAAAGTAAAGGTGAAATCTCTCACAATATGAAAGACAAATAAAGCCACAGCCAGAGTTTACCGTTTGTTGGTTTGACTTTATCAGGGATGTGCTGCTAAACTGCTTTGGGTCCTTGAACTGGCCTTTGGAGATTTTGAGTTACACAGTAGATGATAGGTGACATGAGTATTCCAGGAAAGGCCCTCTCTTCAAATCGCAGGGGAGGGACACTGGTGAGATGGAAGGGATCCCTCAGATATTCCCTGCACAGGCTGGTATTACACTATATCTTCATTTGGCACAAGCACCTTGTAATTTGGAGTTCCATTTCCTAAGGAACGAGATGCCAGAAAGTGACCTAACAGCTCCATAGGCTCATGTGTTGGAGCTACAAGGCTGGAGTACAATACAGATACAATAGCAAAGCACCAAAGATTGATGAGCCTCAGCTTTTACCCATTTTTGCATTATTCTTGACTGCATTCTTCCAGTCTCCTGGATAACTGTGCCATCTGTGAGCTATAGCTGAAATGAGCCTGGCCCAGGCAACTGAGACAAGTGATTCTTTGTAGCTCATTGCAGTGATGCTACAGCTGGAACCAATTTCATTAGCTAGCAATCAGAGGGGAAAAATACAAGCAATGAGCTATTTTCTTTGTAGAAAACAAAGATATTGGATGCTAGCTCTTGAATGTGAGTAGCTGTACAAGAAGTAAGCTAAAGAAAATACCCAGAGAAATGTGCACAGACTTTAACCAGAAGGCTTCATGCAAATTACCTCCAGGGCTTGTTTCTCCTTCACATGAGACATTTCCAGGGATGCAGCCCTGACTCCCACAGATGGGAGGAGTGCTGAGGAAGGGAAGCATGGGGGGGATCACACGCAGGCAGAGCAGAGCTCCATGGCAGCAGACATGGAAAGCCAGGGGAGAGGGAGTGATGCCAGTGACTATGCAGCTCTTGGAAGAATCATTAATTTCCTCAGTTCCCTCCCCATCTGCGTGCTCAAGGGCACCTGTGAATAGGTTTTGGACCCGAGCTGGTGATTTGTTCCAAATTAAATCCCACTGAAAATATTATTGATGGCCTCCTATCTCAAGCTCAGCTTAACAGATAACCAGAGAAGCTGGAATTTTGAAAGCTTTCTTGAAGACAAAGCCTGCACTCATGCAGTTTCACTGCTGTAGAGTTAGTCTACATTAATGTCATTTAAATTTTGCCCAGGGTCTTTAATAAGAATTCAAATATAACTGCTGGGGGTTTAAAATATGTGTTTTGAAAATTGGAGCCATCCAAACTATGCAGAACAGCACATCTCCTGTGTTTATTTTTATTCCTGATCTAGACTCTGCATCAGCTGTCTTCATGGTTTGGTAGTGTGAAGTATACTGGAAGCCTACCAAAGCAGATATATATATATAAAACTTCCTTTTTGGTTTGCATCAGTAGAAGGACAGATTCTTTTTCACTTTGAGTCACTAAAAAGTCACTGTGCAGGCTAATTTAAGACAAATGTGAGCACATGATATCTGAACAACGGATGTGAGGCTGTGTTTGAAGGAAGCATGCTGAAAAGGCCTGCATCCTTAGGGGTCTTTGGTGGGAGACAGCGCTGGCAACCACTTGGAGAAAGGATTCTGTTACTGCTGTGGTATTTTGGGCTCCAGGGTGTAACATTTAGAATGTGCTCTGCTCAGACGGTCATGGGAGGAGCCCCTCCACCGTGGCAACTCACATGTGACTTTGCATTGTTGGAAATGATCACACAGCAGAGAGAAAAAGAAAAAGGAGGATGGCCTTGCATACACAGACCGTGACGGTCTATGACTGCATTCTCCAAGGCTGTAAGCAGGAGTCATAAATTGCTGTATTGCTTGTTTTCACCTCTCATCTAATTGAAGAAACAGTGTATACAGGTTTGCAGATGGCCCATTTATTTTGCTGAACTACCTAGGACTCAAGGATGCTGTTTAGAACTAACTGGGTTCAAGCACAACAAAAGCATGGGGAAATTTGCTCTCGACAAAATCAATTGTCAGGCCTTTTCTGCAAGGCCACAGCACCTCCCTTCTGAATTAATGAAACCTTTGCCACAAAGGCAGAAAAAATATAAGGCACACTTACATACAAACTGGCAGAAATGTTGCAGAATTTTGCAGAGTTTTACAGCAGCACATATCAGCCCTGGGTATCAGCCCTGAGTGGGCTGCAGGAGGAAGGAAAGGCTATGTGCAGCTGCAGCTCACAGAGAATTTTTCAGACACATTCCACCTGAAGGTGTCCTGTGCCCCTGGAAAGAGGCTCAGCCTCTGAGGATATGTGAGCAGTTATGTTTGAGGCTATCCACCCTGTGTGTTCTGGGAAGCAAGAAACCCTCTGACAGCAAAGCCATCCTGCTCCAGCCTCCCCTCTACATACCCAAATATACCTGCTCTGCTGCAGCACGTGGCAGGTTGGGCCAATGCCAGATCTCTGCACTGTGGTCCAGTATAGTCTGGGAGACCTGAATGTGCTGTGCCAAGAGAGACCAGAATCACCATCAACAGAGCACAGCAACAGATTGGAAAGGGGAGTATTGTTTTCTTCATTTTATACAGAGTGGGCTGAGATACAGAAACATGTTGGATGTTGTCTTTGATTAAAGACTGGTGGTGATACTCAGAAATAGCTGCTGATTTCAGAATTCTAGGAAGCATTGGTTACATTGTGCCAAAGGAATAAAGAATCCCTAGTCACACCAGAAGTGTACTATAATTTTTTTCTCTTGATTTCTGTTCTTTTACTTGGAAGGTTTCTGTTATCCAACTTGAGATGACAGAGGTAATCGAGGACACATTATGGGCCAGGGGCTGTGAAGGATGAGCAGCCTAATGACCCACAAAAACCAACCCTGACTAGAAGATTCTTTACCCAAATTTCTCTCATAATCACAAATGGACTGGAAAAAAAAAATAGAATCAATTCACTAACCAAAGAAGGTATAAAGCAATAATAAATTCAATTCCAGTACGATTTACCTTGTACAATATAGATGTAGTATATAGGTACTAATGTGAGTTTTGGATAGCATACCTGAGTTGCATCTCCAAATCTTTTTGATTGCTGCTAATCTTTGCTACTAAAATCACTGTATTGCTTATTTAGGTGTCATGCAATGACAAGAAAAGACACTGAAGTACTGGAAGAGAGGACACTAAAGTTCTTACTGTAATTGCAAATCCCACCAGTGACTCAGGTTTTATAAACCTTAAAATGAGTTTCATTTCTGTGATAATATAAATTAATTTATAAATGGAAGGCAGTAAGCAGAGCTACACAATTCTTAGATGATTTGGTGTTTATTCCCCTTAGGTACTGCTGAGCTGTGGGCTTGAGTCTGTGGGTCCAGGACCACCTCTTGCCCTGCAGCAGGCATGGGTGCTCCTTGGAATCACAGCACGGAGAGAAAACCAGGAGACAGGCCATCTGTTGTGCTGGCCAATGCTAGCTCCAACAGGTGCATGTTTGAACAAATATTTGATATTGTCCAGGAAATACAAAGAGGTTTGTGTACATATTTCTGTGTTAAACTAGTCCTCTACACACTGCAGTGGGAATACAGCAGGGCACGGACTTCTGTTACTTCTCTTCCCCTGGGCCTGGCTGTGACCAGGCTTTGGCTCACGAGGCAGCTTTTGAGAAGAGACCCGGTTTATTATCCGTGAGGTCACAGGAGAGTCACTGGTGGTGTGGCACAGAAAGGCTGTGGGAAGTTTAGAGGAGGCAGTGGGAGGGCTGTGATTGCCAAAAAATCAGCACTTCTGTAGCCTGGTGTAGGGCTTTGGCCCAGATTTTTATGTGCCTGCTGAACACACGCAGCTTTGGAGGGCTGGGGATCAGAGACAGGGCCACGAGCACAGTGCCTTAGAATCACCACAGCAAGAGTAAACCCCTCCCTGCCAGACAGGCACAGAGCTCAATACACAGTCCCCTACAGTGTCCACAACCCCTGCACAAAACAGCAGCAATGAGGTGGTGACACAGGACTTGGAGCAGCCGCAGGGCTGCCTCTGCCGGTTTGGCTGATGGAGGACAGAAGCTCATCTTTGTCAAGGGGAGAGGGGTGTTCCCCAAATACTGGATTCTGAACTGTGTTCCCTCATGCCTCTCTAATCACTCAAATATCTCACTCTACAATAATCATTTAAAAAATAAACCTAGGAAATGAGATAACTCTGGCAAGCACCAAACCCCACGAATTCATTCTCATAACACCAATCACTGCATTCCTGTTAACATCTCTGCTCTGTCCTTTCCTCTCAGGCTGGGTGGCTGCAGACACAGCCTGGATGATGGCAGCCACATGCAGGGAGCTTCACCTCCTGCCTCTTGTCAGGCCTCGGGCAGCAGCTCCCAGCTCAGCAGCAGTGGAATGGAAAATCCTGCTTCTCCCTACAGACCTCCTCTGCTTGGGTAAGGGTGGCTATTGACTCCATCATTTCTGCTCCTGCTCTGCTCAGGGCAGTTCTAAGAAACCCTTGGTAAGAAACCTCCTCTGCTGTTGTCTCTCCCGCGGCTCCTTGCCCTCCGGAGGTGGGACCCGATGATCCCGGCGGTGCCCGGCAGGGTCCAGCCGGGGCTGAGCGCGCCACGTCCTGCCCGGGCTCCAGCAGCGGGAGCCGGGGACCTGCCGTGAGCTGCCGTCGTGCCGGCGATGCCGTGGCCCCGGGATGCTCCTCGGCAGCACTCGGAATT